AGAGTGTCGCTCAAATGCATTGGAGAAAATCTGTCTACTGTGCCCTTCTCCTGGAAATACACAACATACATTTGTCTCGTTGTTCACTGCTGTATTCCCAGCCTCTAGAGTGCCTCATAATAGGTGCTCAACAAATATTTTGCTCAATGAATAAAGTACCATATTTATGATCTGATAAGTACTGTAATAACGGAGCTGTTTAGTTTTTGTCTAATTCATTATTTTCCAATATTATTTGACTATAGAACCCCTTGAGAAAATGCATTAACACCCAAAGAGATAGGAAACTGGCGGGCTTCCCTGGTGGCGCAGTGGTTGAGAGTCCTCCTGCCAACGCAGGTGACACGGGTTTGTGCCCTGGTCCGGGAAGATCCCACATACCACGGAGCGGCTGGGCCCGTGAGCCATGGCTGCTGAGCCTGTGCGTCCGGAGCCTGTGCTCCTCAAAGGGAGAGGCCACAACAGTGAGAGGCCCGCGTACCGCCAAAAAAAAAGAAAAAAAAAGAAAGAGAGCAAACTGGCGTGGGAAACACTGCTTAGAAGAAATTTATCTTAATTTAGGAAGAAATATATATATGTTAGGTAGTTAGTCAGACATGAGCAGGTCCACACCCCATCCTGGAAGGGGTCATCTTTCCCTCCCCCACCTGGACACTGGTATCAGAACACACCCAGAGATCCTCCCTCTTGTCGCCAAGGACCACTGCTAGTTTTCCAGTTACATCAGGACCAAACAAGATAAAAACTGCCAGCACAGGTTGGTGCAGGTGCACCAAGACCTAAAAGGTGGCTCGAGGTAACCAGGGGTTCATTATGCCGTATTTGTAATAAATTAGCATTTCGGTTTTTGCCCCTCCACCCCCCATGGGTTTCGAGTGGGTGCTTATGGGTAAGCACCTGCACACCGGGAGAAAAGTTATATAACCTAAAGCTGTCAATCAACTTGTCAGTCAAATGATGCAGGACAAAGGGAGGGACCACCAATCTAAAAAACCCAACCCTACCCCATTGCAGTGCTGCTTCTGGTTTCCAGACAGCACGCTCTCATCCTTTCTCAAGAGTATACTTTCACTTTTGCTGAATAAAACTCTTAAAACTCCTTAAAACTCCTCTATGTCTCTCAACTGAATTCTTTCCCTTGAGAGGGCAAGAACCGAGGAAATCGCCCTTCCACTGGTGACATATTTATTACTTACTATTGAGGTAATAAAAAAAAAATTGAGGAAAAAATGGAAAGGTGTAACCGCAGAAGCGTTCAAGTAAATTTTTATTATTTTCTTTTGTTTAAGAGTAACCATTAGAATTGGAGAAATTGTGACAACTATGACAGATAAAAATTTGCTAATAAAACATAAAAAAGGTTAAATACAGACCCATAAAGAATACAAACTCCTAAATATGCAGAGAACACACTGATCAGGCCGTGTGTATAAGAGGGAATTATTGTCAGCATTTTAAAGGAAAATGCTTAGTTTCGCTAATAATTAAGGAAATGTAAATTAGTCCACTTCCTTACCATTTTTTAAAAATATTTATTTATTTATCTTTGGCTGTGTTGGGTCTTCATTGCTAAGCGCGGGCTTTCTCTAGTTGTGGCGAGTGGGGGCTACTCTTGGTTACGGGGCAGGGGCTTCTCATCGTGGAGGCTTCTCTTTGTTTCGGAGCACAGGCTCTAGGACCTCGGGCTTCAGTAGTTGTGGCACGTGGGCTTCAGTAGTTGTGGCACGTGGGCTTCAGTAGTTGTGGCACGTGGGCTTCAGTAGTTGTGGCACAGGGGCTTCAGTAGTTGTGGCTCACGGGCTCTAGAGCGCAGGCTCAGTAGTTGTGGTGCACGGGCTTAGTTGCTCTGTGGCATGTGGGATCTTCCCAGACCAGGGCTTGAACCCCGTGTCCCCTGCATTGGCAGGTGGATTCTTAATCACTGTGCCACCAGGGAAGCCCCCATACCATTTTGCAAATGTTAAATCAATAAGCTCTTAAAACCCTGTTTTAGAAAACACACACTTTGAAGCATTCTTGAGTTGCTATGGGTTGGTACAGTCTTTCTGGAGGACAATCTGGCAAAGTTTATAAAACAAGACATTAAAATAGCTGTACCCTTTGACCAAATTATTCTACTCATGGAAATTTTCCCTCTGGAAATAATTCAAGAGATAAAAAAAAGCCCAAACAAAATGTTTGCACAGGGCAAGAATTCTCAGGGGGGAAGACAGAGAGGCAATGAAGAAAGAGGACAAGACCAGAGTGAAAACTCTCTCTTGGTTCTTTCCAGCAAGATGGGCAATGATTTATTTGAGACCACCCAAAATAACATCCTACAGAAAGGGAACTATAACATTACACAACCAAGTGTAGCTATAAAATCTCAAACATTCAGGCAATGCTTTATTTAGATCACCAAAAATAAGGTTTTATAGAAAAGGAACTGTAACAAGCAAAGGTATAGCTGCAAATTTTCTTTTGCCATCAATATCAACCCCCTCTAAAATATTCTGGGACTACTTTCCGGTTTCCAAGCAAAACTAATGTTTTGTTGCTCAGCCTCATCACAAGAATGAAAACGGTTTGCAAAAACAATTTTGTTTAATGCTAACAAATAACTAAAAAATGTGGTTATTGCTAATAAGTAACTCCGTCTACTGAAACAGCCCAACCTACGCACACTTTCATGAACATTTCATTGTGAACACAGCTGCTCGTTTCCCGCCGTCACAGATGACATGTACCGTGGCAAGGGTCACATGCTGGAGGCCGTTCAGGTACCTAGGAAGTAATCCTTAACAGAAATAACTACGGTAGGTAAGCAACTCAAACAAATGGGCCTGCCTCTGCCACACACCCCCAAGGCGAGTGTCGAGTGTCGCATTCGCTCTGCCTGTAAGGAAGGCCCACCAACTCCCTAGTTCTTTATCAGGAACGGAGAGTGCAAAGCTAGATAGAGAAGCTGTTCTTCCAGAACCATCAAAACCTTAATAAATCGCCCTGGGGTTCTTCGTGCTGTAGTGCGCCTCACAGGCAGCAACATAGGCAGACTCTGGGAAAAAGTCATCATGGTATTCTGCTAAAAACCTCAGAAAGAGATCAAAGTGCTTCAGTAAAGCCTTCAGATTCTTCTCAGAAAAGGACATCTTTCCAAGGATTTCTGGAAGTTTCACGAACAATCGCAGCAAGTGTTGCGCCCCATAAATGTAAGAGGGTGGAGGTGGCTGGTCACCTGGGGGGTAACTGTCGGGTACAAGTTTCCAGGAGAGGACCTCATTTATTTCATTAGTTCTTCTGCCTTCAAAGCCAGCAAACACCGCACTCCCTTCCTTGCTAGGGGTCAGAGGAACGGGTGAGGATGATCTGCTATGAACGGGTGTCTTCTTTTCCAGGTGCAGGAACAGCTTGGGCATGCTGGCAGAAGCGTCCTGCTGCCGGCGCTTGGGCTGAGGCGAGGCGCTGCTCTCCGACAGCCAGTCGCAATTGGCGGAGGGGCGTGTGGACCGCCTCAGAGACTGCAAGGCTTCCGGCTCGGCTTTGCGCCTTTTGGGGGTGGCTGGCTCGCCTGTGGTTGGCTGACTCTCTGTGGACTGTGGTGTGGATGGATTCAACAAAGGTGGGCTTGGAGAGAGTTCCTCTGGGTTCCTATTAGTGTTTGTGGTACTTTCCTTAATTGGAAGAAAAAATTTGGACGAAGTCACCTTTTTATACTGAACTTGTTCATACGGATAGAGCAAAACCAATGGGAGAGTGTAATCAAAGGTTATTCGTAATCCATCCACCATCTCCTTACAAAGGTCAACGTTCTTTTCTGCTGGGATATAATGCACATTCATGCTGGCATGTGGCATAGCGTGATGGTGACGAGGCCTCTCATTGGCAGAAAAGGCTGCATTGATAGCAAAATGCTTCACGTATGATTCCAAAATAGTTATGATGTTGGTCTGGCACGGAAGTTTCACTAACCGTTTCCTCCTGTTGATATAGTAACAATCGTCCTCAAGCTTCTTCTTCAGAACTTCAGGGATTTCTATAGTTATTGTTCTTTCTTCCATTTCCTTTTTTGCATGCAGCTCTGGTTCTTCCTTCACTTCAGTCTTTTCTTCAATATCACTTTCTTCACTTATTTCTTCATCCTTTTCTTCACTACTGTCATCAGAGGAACTGCTTATTGAGTTTTCAACATTTTCATCTTTTTCTTCAGCAGGGAGGCTTTTTAAGACAGAGTCCACACCAGGCAACCTGCAGCGCTTCCTCTTTCTTCCTGTGCTTCTCAGGCGAGCTACAGCTTTCCTTGCCAATTTACGCTGTAATCTCCGATTTTCATCGGTGTCACGAAGGACATGATCTTCAGCTGCCCATCTATCCCAGCTTCTGTTCCAACCATTAAAATGGATCAGATATTCTGGGATCTTTCTGCCTTTTTCGTGTTTCCCAACAATAACATCGACAATCTTGGCATCGTACAGCACTCGCGCCTTGGTGGGGTCAGGCTCGAAGCACAGCACTTTCTCCCCTGAGTGGAATTTAAATTTCATGCCCTCGCTCGCGCTCATTTGCTCATCGTCACCTGGAGATTTTTTGTAGTCAGCACCTGCTTTTCCCCTTTCCTGAGTTTCTTATACCTTCCTTCCCTACTCTTGCCTATATTCTCCTGGTTAGGAATCCCACTCTACCCTTCTACCTTTCACTTTTTTATTTTTATAACTGAAGTGTTAAGTGTATTTTTTAAGTGCTCAAATCAAAGATAAATGATCACAATGTGAACACACCCATATAACCACCAGGTCAAGTGGTGCAGGCAGCTTCTGCCTGCATCCTCCACACACCATCATCCTGACACCTAACACTATAAAATGGTTTGCCTGTTTGACTTTTATATAATCATTATCACATAGTAGGCATTGTTTTATGTCTAACTTCTTTTACTCAACATAATGTTTGTAAAATTCATTTATGTTGTTACTGTGTGTAGCTGCAGTTTTTTATTTGCTTTTGTTTGTTTTGCTGTTAGATATTCCATTGCATTAATATACTACGATTTATTTATCCAGCCTATTTTCATGGACATTTGCACTGTTTCCAGTTCTTGGCTATTACCAGTTATGCTGTTAACAATCCTGTATGCCTCTTGGTGTACACGGGCACACATTTTTTGTGGTGTATACCAAGGAGTCAGGCTGCTAGGTTACAGAGTAAGCCATTGTAACTTTTTAGATAATGCAGAACAATTTTTCAAAATTGTATCGGTTTGCACTCCCCATAGCAGTGTATGAGAATACCCATTGCCCCACATTTTTGCCAGCTTGGCGTTGTTAGTCTTTTAATTTTAGCCATTCTGGAGGGTAAATGGTGATGATACCTCATTGTGGTTTCAATTTGCATTTCCCTGATGCAAATTAAAGTGAAAGTACTCCCCCTCGTGGTTGAAATATGAATTACCTGGGAAGTTGGGGGTTTTTTTGGTCTGTTTTAAGTATTCAGGCTTCCCCTATATCTAGGCCCTCCTTCACCTCTCTTCCTCTTCCAAGAGTCTCCAAGAATGAAAAGTCGACCATCTTTCATAAATTCATCGTGCACTGGATATCCTCTTTTATAAAGTGCCCCTTTAAGTCTTATGGTCATTTTTCTATTGAGGTTTTTTTATATTAACTTGTAAGAGTTATTTACAGATTCTGGCACAAACTCTTTGTTATTTGCATGTGTTGTTGCACACACCTTTTCCATTTTAAACCTTTAAATCAACTCATTTCCAACACAACATTGTAAATCAACTATACTTCAATTTAAAAAATAAAATAAAAAATAACTCATTTTCACCTGTGCAAGAAGCTCAATGCAAGTTCCATTTTGTCATACTTAGAAGTTACCAGTAGATGGCGCCCTAGCCTTGCTCCTGAGCCTTCCACCGGCTATGCCTGACTTTCAACTAAATTTCCCAAAATTTATCAAGTATTAAAGAATGAGAAATCAAACTTTAAACCATCATACAGCTACATGGAATACAGCTGGAACTGGGTCTTTTGGTGGGAACAACACATTAATGTTTTTTGCTCCGAATAAAGGAATAAAAAGGTCTTTACCACAAGGCAGGAAAGACTGGCGAGGCTGTCCGGTGATGGGCGGGGCACCAAGTGGAATCCATGGAAACGCCTTCTGAGAGTAACCTGAAGGCGGAAGAAAACAAATAACTGCCACGCCTAGCATTTAGACACTGTTTCACTGTTTACAAAAGGCAGATACCCACTAGCACAAGGTCTGAGAGGGGAACAGGGGTTTGGTCTCAGTTTCTGCCTCCCTCTGCCCCTCCTTCCGCCTCCACTTAGGGTGCAGGCTTCCCTGAGCTGCGCCCCACTCAGAGGTGGCCTTTCCTTCCTCCTCCCTCCTCCCTATGCCCGCTCCCCACTGAATGAAGTAATGAACGAGTGAGTGAATGACAAGGTCCTGGCTTTCCTGAGCTTCGAAATCAGAGCACATAAACCTACACTCAAAGGAAGACCCCAAGGGAGAATGTGGAAACGCTACAAATAGAGGTGCAACTCCAAGAGCTGGAGGGGGCGGGTGCGATGGGTTGGCTTGCAGTGGGCTGTGATTATGAGCAAGGGGAAGGCACCTTTAGTTACGGGAAGACATAAACAGAGGACCGAGGCATATTTGGGGTGTGGTGAGAAGGTGACCCCTTTTCTCCAACTTTCACAATGGTGATTGGCAAGAACACAGGAACATCAAACCAGAGATTCAGCTTACTTCCTGCAGTAGCCAAGACAAGGTTTCCACCACAGTGGGTCACCACATCTGATGTCCCCACAAAGGGGGACAAAGACTGGCCCATTTAGAACATGTCTCTGGTGGTTTTCATTCTCACTGTTCAGAAATGCTTGAAGGTTGAGTTGCACCCCCGAAGCTCTCTCTGTCCCACATCTGTTCAGACCCAGCATGACCGGCCTTGCAGCCAGCCCATGGATATAAAGAGAGGCTCAGAAAGAGAGGCTTTGTCTTCTTTTGTTTTCTTCACTGCAGGTGATTGGGCAAGCTTGCTTTCTGAGAAATATGGAAGTTCCAATCATCACAGGATTTCACACTTTTCAGGGTGAAGGAAATTGCGCCACTTGAACTTCCTGGCTCTGGGGGCTGCCAGGGTGGGTGTCCAGAGGCTGGGGCCTGGGCGGGCGCAGAAAGCACACATCTGTGGGTGGGAGAGGTACCCAGGGCCCAGCTCTGCTGCTCCTGGGTCTGACTTTAAATGGGGATTCAGAGGCTTGGTACCTGTCACATGCCACCCACACTGACACCCACATGGCCTGGGCAGGGAGAGGATGCCAGGAAAGGGTGCACTGAAGTTTGGGACTTGGAATCCCCCCCTTTTCTCCTGGCCCAGGTGGCACTCAGTGGTTTGCTGGAGCTGGTTTGTACTGCTTGCAAGAGCCAATTGTTAAGTTTTCAGGAATTTTGCAAAGCAGTTGTTAAAACAGCCATTATTTTAACAATTAAATTACAAAACCTTACAAGAGAATAAGTTATATTTTTAAGAAGCAGCAAATACTCAAAACTTCCTATATGACTGCATTTTGTAATTATATTTGCTTTTGAGGCTGTCTATGCCTATTGTGTTTGCTTGCTGGAAATATTATGACAGTGTACTACTGCCCATCTCTTCCCAATTCTGCATTTAGTGACATCCTGTTGGTAGCTTGAACTTGGTCACGGTGGGAATATTTACACCGCGGAAATCAGGAAATGCGATTTCCTGAAAGCCCATTAGGGCTTTCCGCCCCCAGTGCCTGTTATACGTTGGCCAGAGCACTGCTGCAGCTGGGGGACCTGGATGTGCAGCGGCTGGGAGGGCAGCTGGCCCTGGGTTTTCCACCCGCTGCTACCAGTGCAGGACCTTTTCTCAGGCAGATGAGGGAGGAGGGAAAGGGAGGAAGCGGATAGAAACTGAGAAACACCCTTGGTTCCCCCAGGACACAGTGGTGGAGAGCCTGGCTCACTGGGGGGTGGGCAGGACTATCTGGAGGAACTCAGGGGAGGAAAGCCAGGAGCATGAGGAGGGTGACAAGCAGAAATTAGATAAGCCACTGAGTGGAGGAAAGTGTAATGTCCAGGAGGCGGGCCTTGTGAAGACAAAGGGGAAACACAGAATGTGGCATTCCTGTGACCACAAAAGGGAGGGGAGGGGCTTCCCTGGTGGCAATGTGGTTGAGAGTCTGCCTGCTGATGCAGGGGTCATGGGTTCGTGCCCCTGTCCGGGAAGATCCCACGTGCCGCGAAGAGGCTGGGCCCGTGAGCCATGGCCTCTGAGCCTGCGCGTCCGGAGCCTGTGCTCCACAACGGGAGAGGCCACAACAATGAGAGGCCCGCGTACCGCAA